ACTTAATTCGAATATAATTTTAAATCGAATTAATTCGAATATTCAGTGAATTAAAGATTCGATTCCAATCTCTAATTACAAGCTCTTTATTTGAGTCACAGAACATCATAAATTGTTGGACAATTCTTGGATCTAGATTTCATCTGTCGGACTTATAATTTGTCGAAGTTACGAATATCGAAATACTGGATGGAATTTAAGACAGATGTGAAATAATAGCTTTTTATTTTATTACTTAGAATGATTTAAATTAAATGTGAAGTATGATGACACGTATAGTAATGGCTCCTAAGTTTATTATCGTCCTTTATAGACTGGAGGCCTTTTATCTTTAAAAGCCTTCAACCCTACAAATAAATAATAAGTGAACAACAAATTAGAATTTGAATAGCTTAACTTCTATAGTAGTTTTTTTTTTTTTTACCTTCTATCCTATCTTCAGTTGGAATAACTTGTTCATAGCATGCATTTTCAAATTCTAAAGCTGAATCTCTATACCATCAAAAAATGTAACAATACATAGCAATTTCTTAAAGTATAATCAAAAAAAAAAAAAATATTAACATACAAATCCAACTGATTACCCCGGTCAATAGCCAATTTTGCCATTCGAAGAGCAATAGGACCTTATTGTAAGAAATGGATAATAGTCAAAAAATAAAAATGAAAATAAAAAATAAAATAAAAATAAAAATAAAAATAAATGATATAAAATAATATAATAAAAATCGAAATATAGATACCACTTGGCAAAATCTCCCTAGCTAGTTTAAGTGCAATCGGATACGATGATCCCTCTTGTGCACAATAATTTACAATTCCTTAAATATAAAACAAATTTAATATTAGCAATAACAATATATGTATAAATATCGAATAAAGTGCATACCAAGATTCAACGCCTCTTGGGGGCCCAAAATACGACCAGTATAAATCAATTCTTTTGCTTTTGCAATTCCAATCACTCGTGCTAATCGTTGTGTTCCTCCGGCCCTGGAATTTAAAAAATTAATTTAATACATGTGAATAATTTTTAATAATTAAAATTAGAATAAAATTACCCAGGAATGATGGCTAGTCTCGTTTCCGGAAGTGCTAATTTAGCATTTTCACCTAAAATAAAAATGAAAAAAATTAGTTTAAGGCAATTGTGAATGTAATTTGCGGAATGTTTTAAATACCAGCGACTCTCAAATCGCAGCAAAGAGCTAGTTCAAAACCCCCGCCTACGGCCGCGCCATCGATTACGGCAATTGATGGGATTGGAAGAGTCTAAAGTTTTCAAAGATTCAAGTAACTTATAAATCGTCATGAGCTTCTCTAAGAGTTAAAAACTTACTTCAAGTTCTCGAAAAGCTCGTCGTATGTTTTGAATAAACTTTGTCACATCTGATGGTGACATACCAGCACGCTCCTATAATAAAAGTGTTAATGAATGATTATAGTGGTTATATAGTGAAAGCCTATCTTACTTTTAAATCTGCACCAGAACAGAATGCACCATTAACAAGACTCCT